CTAAAGAAAAAGTGTCTAGGAAATGGCAGTTCAACACCCTACCCCTGCAGCCATTTCTTCAGTGTAATGAAAATGCACTGTAAAAATCTGTTTGTCCTAGTTGCATTCTTTCTAAGTGTCTGATATTCACTTTCAACAGTTATGAGTAATTAAATACATACATTTAATTCTCCTGAATATTAAAAGTGATTATTCTGTCCTTCCTGGGCAATTGTGGGCAGATTATATGGGCCTAGCAGAATTCAAGAATTACATGAAAATGCACATTTTATTGATATTACTTCATTAAATATGCAATAAAAACTCTTTGTTTTGTTATTATTCAAAGAAAAATAGTCATTTTATAGCAAAACATTGAAAATTTTAGATTCTGGCACATTTAAATATACATAAATTTCAAAATTGAAAAGGGGGAGGGGGGCATATTTCATTAAAACATCAATAACAGAATAGGTTAAATTTGGAAAATAAAGCCAAATTTTTTTGTGTGTGCTATATATGGTACTATTTAGTGACATCTAGGTATGCTGACTGATTTATTATTTTTAAAATAATTATATTTAGTAAATTAGGTTGAAAAAATGGGAAATTTATGTAATTTCAGTGATATCGCACTAATTAATACACTTAAATTTTAATTAGATATAATTAATTACAGCAAAACATGATTTTAATAATGCGACAATACCCAAAGTATCAAATTCAAACAATTAATTCATTCTTTGGCAAAAAATGCCTTAATCTTGTATGATTTATTATGCTTGATGGTTCAAAGTCTTTAAAAATGTATGCTGGAAAAGAGTAACCCCCCTTGCTTTTTAGTGAATATACCCAACTGTACAGATTTTAAATAACAGAAACAAAGTATTTTTTTTTAAATTGACATACATAAATAAACCTTTTTGTATAAAAATCTGACTAAAATTCAATTTTCTAAAAAAATGATGTATTCTTGAAGGTGGCAGAGGATAGTTTTTTGCAATCAAAACGTTTGACTGACGGTTTACTTAATATTGTGCTGCTTTTAAAATGTGCATTGAAAAATTTTAAATTCCCTCTACATGTAATAATAGTATGATGTAGTCCCTTGAGGAATTTGAAGCTTTTAGGAATAAAACATGTACAACTTACACAATGAGCCCTAAAGATGGCACAGGGACAATCTCAAAATTTCATGTGAATCAAGCCTATTTTCACTATTTCGCTGCAGCCGCAACTGCTTCCAGGTCCGTGTTCATGACCTAAGCTACCACACAAATTGCAGAATAACATTTGTACATACCAATGAACAGCAAGAGATAATGGCTCAACCACCTCGTTTTCAAGCTACATTTCATCCTATGAACCCACCCCGCTTTTCTGGTGAAATACCGGTAGAGCGAGTTTTGAGCATAGTTTCGTATTTCTAGTCCATATCCCATATACAGTAGTAGTGACACTAAAGTGTCATATTTCAATAAAATATACAAGGCCACCAATTCCCTCCAAATGCACCCATAAAATATTCTAGCTATAAAATTACCTATAATATGCATTCAAACCTCAGGTTTCTCTATTTTTTGACGGTACTTTATTTGAACTATCCTCTGCCACCAGAGCAACGCAGAAAGACCATGACAACAGAAATGCCAGAGGTACAATGCTGGAAGTGGGAGAAAAGGATTGGGTAGGATGGTAAGCATAAGTTAGCAGATAAATGGGAAGATACACCTTATATCATTCTATCACAGCCCAATTCCAGAATTCCAGTATACTGTGGAATCATTATTGTTCGTGGGGGACCAATGTTCGTGGCCTTCGTGGGTAACCCTGACCCACGAATTTACATCCCCACGAACTCGTACACAAACAATTGTTTTATTATTCATTAAAAGATAAATAACGAAGTAGAATTTGTTATCAACGAAATTACGTCCCCACGAACCAGAAAAATTGTGTCTATCCACGAACTTTGACCCCCACGAATAAAAATGATTCCACAGTACACCGTAAAGAAAGGAAATGGAGAAGGAAAGAAGAGAACCTTTTACAGAAACTTGCTTTATCCAATTGGTTTTATATCTGATAGGCTTACTTCATTACCCAAAAAGAGAAAGACTCAAAGTAAGTGTTATATTACTCAACATTCAGAGCAGGTAGACAAGGACAAAGATGTACAGAGTTTTAGTACTGAGCATGGAATTTTGGTGTCTGATTTAGATAGCAATGTTCAACATAATAACTTAACATCATGAGCCAATGGTACATGGAAGCGCTTCCGATGAATCAGAGACTTCTGATGTGAATTCTTATCAAGAGTCATCTGAAATTTCAGGAGAAACTGAGGATGAAGATGAACAAGGTCATCAATGTTAAAGCAGAAACCAAAATAGTTGACGTAAGGTGAGTTTTTAACAAAATTGAGCACAACAAAGAAACATGCCTGGCAGGACAAAGCTGATTTTATCCTTACTTTTATCAAATCTACACAGAATGCTGCAATTCCAAAGGACACAACAGATTTTGTGGTGAAACATGTTTGAAATTCTTGAGATGATTTTGAATTATTGCATTGTGAGATTCTGATGAACTTATGAGATTTAACTGTACTTTGATTTGCAGGGTGCAGGGAAATGTTGCAAATTAATTTGAATCTTGTATGGTTGTTTGCTTTAATAAGAATGGAATCGTTTTATGATTCATTTGCACTATTCACATGGTTTATGGAAGAATTTTAGATCCAGTTCAATTAATGCCGAACAGCAGAATATGATATGATTGATGATTTCCGATATACATGTATGTTGTTATTTTCTTGTTATTTTCATTTTGTACTCTTACTTAATAAATGACGTGGAAGTCATTTTTCGAACAAGGGGGAGTTTGTGATAGTATAAATTTATATTTATTTTATTGGTATTGTTTAAATGAAATAATTATTGAGAGTTTCATTTCCAATTTTTACATAAACAGGATTCTAAATTATTTATTCGTTTAAGTCATTCATGAGTTTCCAAAGGTAGTGTAGTATATGTTGTTCATGGTTCATTGGTTTTCATTCCTGGTTGATTAAATGAAGTGTCAAAGGTTAAAGTTCTAGAGAGTGTAGTGATATTGAAGTATTGATTTCCATTCCTGTTTTGAACATTGTATTCATGTGTTGATATAAGAGTTTTTGGTTTCTACTGACCTTGACAGAAAAGTAAGACGTTATTTATTAACCCGTGAGTATGTCGATTGACTGATAAATTTAAAACTAGAATTTAATATTTTACATTTTGATGAAATCAATATATAATATAATAATTTAATTTTGTTTGTACTCTAGTCTCTCATTGATTGATTTCCAAAAAGAAACGCAAATTATATCTCAAAAACCTGGTTTGGTATGGGGACACACCCCACTTGACAATCAGCTGAATCATCTGTATCCATGAATCCCCTCATTTCCAGTCCTTGGGATTTATGGAAAATCCAGGTTTTTTAAATGTACCTTTAACATCAAACAGTAGCTCGATCTAACCTCATGTAAACAAACATCATGGCTGCTAGATCTGTGTATCAGTTATTACCTCCCCTAATGTTTCCTATCACTTCCGTTACAAGGGATGTATTATTGAGCGGCAAATTTGAACTCATAAAAACGGCAGAATTTTACACCCAAAGCTGTTTATTTTTTAAAAAATCAAATTATAAGGAAAGACTCTAAGTCTTGGTCAAATTATTCGAATACATGTATAACCTCGTTTGGGTCAACTTACGCGTTTTTATAATCCGCTTGTTGTTTGTGCACACGAACCCTGCATGGCATTTAGTTTTCCTGTTTGTCCAATATAATATTCTTTGCACGTCGGGCAGATGGCACATACCAAAATTCAGCTCAATATCTGCCAGCGTATAGAAAAAAAGTGCGGAAAACCTAGTGGGACAGACAGACAGACAGACAGACAGACAGACAGCTAGACGGACGGACGGACAGACGCAGAGGAAACCTATAGTCCCCTCCGGTTTCACCGGTAGGGGACTAATAAACATGAAATTATAGCCAGCATATTTCCCTCACCGCATTCTTTAACACCAATGTTAAAATATCCCCTCCATCTTCTCTCTGAAGGGGATATGAAATGGGTAATAGTTCACATTTATTATTAGTCCCCTACCGGTGAAACCGGAGGGGACTATAGGTTTCCTCTGCGTCTGTCCGTCCGTCCGTCTAGCTGTCTGTCTGTTTGTCTGTCGCAGTCTGTCAGTCAGTCTGTCCCACTTGGTTTTCCGCACTTTTTTTCTAAACGCTTGCAGATATTGAGCTGAATTTTGGTATGTGAGTGTATCTTGATGAGTTACAGATTGGTTTTTGACAGAATTATGGCATTTTGAATTTTTCATATTCGTTTAATTAAGATCGGGTTTGTGCTGCGCTAACTTCCGATGGTCGACATAAATATGAAGCGAGGAAAAGACGGTGGGAAAATGAGTTAAATGTTCGTCTTAATGTGGATTATTTTATTAGGTTTAAGGCATTCACAACCTAAACATCATGCAGTTTCACTTTGATCATAACTTTTGCATATTATAAAATGACATCCTGAAGAAAAAGGGGAACCCGGTAGGGGACATTTATTGCTTATGCAATACTCTCAGAATGCTTGTTTTGTAGCAATAAACCTTATCACCTAAAGTGGCTGACCCAAGGATACCAAAAGTATCGTTTTTAAGTTGTCAGCAAATATAAGCTAATACTAGTAGCAACTGTTTTTTAGTTCATACTTATTGTTAGACCATTATTTGGTACATATTAGTATGTTTAAGATTTTCTCGTTTATGACAAGGAGCGAATTGACCGATTTACAGTAAGATGCCTACTCCTCCATGATCCCATCTGATGTTTCCAGAGGTCCGTATCTGCTAAATGAACTTCGAAATTCTCAGCCTGATTACCGTTCGTTATCTCCATATATTTCTAGTCTTTATCTTTAAATTCAATGTTTAGGGGTGCAATACAATAAACCGATTTTAGTTACCTTGAATACCCTATGCTTCTACAAACCACTCCCGCTTCATTTTTGTCCCAACCACTGTTACATACTGTATGCCATTCGCTATTAACTAAAACCTCAACTCGTCCTTCATAATCATAGCTACCGTTCACAATTCTAACTGAATCTGAAAAAGACGTGTGTGTTGAAACAATATTCAAACAATATTGTAAAAGAATAAAACAATTTTCTCAATGAAGTGCACTAAGTAGAAGATAATTATAAATAAATCATTTAAGACAGTATAGTTTTTGTCTTTATGTGCGTCTGTCTATCTATCTGTTTGGTCGTCTATCTGTTTATCCGTCCAAACATTGAACATATTGTTTGATTGTTTGTAAAATTCTTTGGGTACCCATGGGCGGATAAAGGATTTGTAAAGATGGACTTTTTGTGGATAATTTCGTTCAGGCAGGGGTCTGGGGGCCGCTTTACGGCCCCGGTGGGTCTAGGGTAAAGTGGGGGCTCTTAATTAGTAGGCAAAGCATGTCATATCATGCTTTAAAAAATATACGCATACTCCCCCTAAATCCGCCACTTGCACCAAGGTATATAACAAAGGTACAAACGTAAATATATATAATTTCCCTAATAACGATTTGTTTTTCAAGATGACAACGCTCCGGTTCACAGAGCCCGAATTGTACAAGTATATAATAACAAGCAAATAATTATCGTCCTATTTCTATTCTACCAACTATATCTAAATTGATAGATGAACATGTAGCTAAGCTAATACAAAATTTCACTAATGAATTTGATCTACTAACACAACCCCAGTCAGGGATTAGGGAACTCCATTCAAACTTCACTTACAAAACTAGCAGAAAGTTGGCTTAATGCAATGGATCGAGGTGAACTAATCGGTATTACATTTATAGATTTTAGAAAAACATTTGATTTGGTGAATCATGATATTCTTCTAGAGAATTAACCCATTACAAATTTGACCAAACAGCTTTAAAGTGGTTTAAGTCATACATTTACGACAGGACCCAGTGTGTTAAATTTAGATCATGCGTCTCCAACATTCTACCAGTCACAGCAAGAGTGCCACAAGGGTCAATTTTGGTCCCACTTTTATCTTTATTGTACAAAAATGACCTTCCATTACATGTAAACAATTCAAATATTGATATTTTTGCTGATGATGTCACTCTATTTTCTAATAATGATAATACAAGATGTTTAGAAAATACACTAAATTCAGTTCTTTGTGAGAATGAGAAATGGTGTGCTCAAAATCAAATGGTTTTAGATGTAGATAAAATAAAATGAAATTTAATGGGAAGGCAGCAAAGATAATCAAATCTAGATAATCCAAATTAATAACTTTATGCCTCAGACAAAACAATTGAAATAGTTGAAACTGAAAAAAAAAATCTTGATATACATATTGATGATACCTTACAGTATGCAAATCATATAGATTCGATTTGTAAAACAATAAATTATGTTATTTACTCTTCAAAAAATTAAGAATTTTCTCCCTCTACATACCAGAAAACTATATTACAATGCTTATATTTTACCATCTGTTAACTATTGTTTGACTACCTGGGGTAATGCCCCCAAGCAGGACAGACTACAGTGTGTATTTAAATTACAAAAAAGGGCAGCAAGGATTATTCTTGATGCAAGTCCTGATTCTTCTTCTGAACCACTGTTTGAGAAACTTGGATGGTTAACAGTTTATGAGCTAGTTGATTTATACAAATACATATTATTATACAAAATTTTCACTGGAATGACTCCCGAATATCTATGTAATATATTTGTATTTCATTCTTCAACTTCTTATAACCTGCGATCTGAAACTAATCATTATTGTTTGCAGCTAACTGTAAAGTTTCACGTTACGTCACGATCTTTTTCGTCAGATGCATCCAGCGTAAACAACTCACGTGATTGGTCAACTCAAATTATCAACATTGACACGGAAATAGTATGTTGCACTAGCAACCAATCAGGGTTAAGAAGAAAATTCCAGTCGTAAAGCTTGCGGTTAGGAGGCGTGTACAATTTACCTTGAGTGCAGCTGTCAACTAAATCGTGACGTAACGTGAAACTTTACAGTCAGCTGCAAACGATAATATGATGTAAGATTGTCAAAATTTCGTACAAACTTATTCAAGACCTCTTTTCAGTATTCAGGTGTACATCTATGGAACAAACTTCCCCAACACATTAGACTCCCTCAATCTATACGAAAATTTAAGCTTAATGTAGAAAATTACATCATCAGCTGTCACACAATTATTTGAGCATAATAAGATTTCGATATTGTATATTGTATTGTGATTGTTAATTGTCAGTACATTGACACTCTATTCGTACGTTATCTTCTGATTATAGTTCCTTAAACTTATAACTATTACATGTATATATGATGAATTGTATCCTGTATATTTTTGTATTTGATATATATATAGAGGGCCCTGGGGAAGAATAATTCATGCACTAACCAGGTTACCTTCTTTAAATAAAGTATTAATCAAATAAACTCAATTCCAGGTTTGTTTTTGCTAACACAGTCACCTTATGCACACATTATTGAAAATATTTCATATCTATTAAACAATTAACTGAAACGAAGGTTTTCAGAAATTAATAACGTCACTGACTTGGAGAAAAATATGCCCGACATCTAGATTTTTATACCTGTATCACATATGATCGAGCCTCTACAGATCCATGCCTTCTCGAATAATCAGTTCAAAAGGTATCATTATACATTTATTGACTGAGTTCGAGGGCAACATCATTTAGTCGAATCCAAGATCCAACCTGTTTACCTGAGGCCGTTTAGAATTGTGTAGAAAAAATTGGAAAAAGTGGAAGGAATGATGGACAAAATGGTCAGCTATGAATGAGGCTCAAAATTAATCGTTACACCGGCCATTTATTTATACATCGTAAATGACTTGCACCAGAAAAAGGATTGATCACAAAAATATATTACCAAACTGCATATCTACACTTCTAATTTTATCACACGTTTATTATTGTCACCTACCTTCATTTGTTTTCTGACAAACGACTCCGGCTTGTCCATAATTAATACATTTACTGGGTTTTATCACTGATATTCGACATTCTGACAAAGACGATTCGTCTCCAGAACAATATACATCGCCCAACATCCATAAATTGTCCTTTTCCTCGCTAAACACAGATGAAGTTACTGGGAATCCTCTAGAAAAGAGGATATTTACTATGAAATACAGTGAATTACTGTAAAGAATGACTACATGGAATACACCGCAATTATCCTCTGGCATATTATAAAAAACCTCGTGAAGATTCATTGAACATATTTAGATATCAGAACCTGTTTAAAAACAAGCGGGTTGCGAATGAAGGAAAAAAGTCACAAAATTTGGCATGCATCAATGAAGGTTTCATATCATCATCTCATATATATACGAGAAGAAAACATAAAAAAATTAAATAAAAGTTATATATTTTGACAATCATAACAATTGGTTAATCTATTGTATCATTACAACTGTATTCTAATTTAGAAAGAACGGCATTTAAATCCGAAGATAATGTAAGTTTAGTATGAAAAATACATTATACATATGTATGTATCTCTTTTTGCATAAATCAGTGCAAGACTTTTTCACACCTAAAAGAGTCAGACTTTTTAAAATTATTTTTTTATCCAATGGTTAATGGTATAATAAATACTTAACCTCTAAGGGGGAAGGTTAATAGTAAGGAAATATTCTAATAATATGGCATCCTATAATTTAACTATATTTTTTACGAAATGTTAACAAAAATAACCCTATATATCCTAAACTTCTACAAGCGACGTTGGCATCAGGTTTGTTCCAATTCCTACTGCAAATTGTGCGCCATTTGCCATTAATGAAAACTTCCACACGCCCTTCGTGGGAAGAGCTGCCATTAGCAATTCTTATGGTATCTGAAAAGATATCAAAGAGAAAAAAAAATCAAGAGACTAAAAGGGTCTTAAGGGTCATCTGACTATAATAATATAAAAGATACAAAAAGTATAAAATAAAACTGGTAGATTTAAAGATTTCATAACCGACTAACACTAAACAATCGAGTAGTGTGCAAGATCTCTGGAAGGTGCAAGCAATAAGCAAAATCAATAATATTGAATGCAAGGACGAATTAAAACTGATGGTTTTTCAATGCAGGACAACGGCGTCTAAGATTGACGTAGAAGTATTTTGACATTATTAACATTAAAAACATAGTTTTTTCTTAAATTTGGCGTATCAGACCATCGTCCGTTATTTGATTTGTTCGCACACATCCTCCATCACATCAGAGGGGGGATCAAGTACCGTGGAGGTCTGGACTGAGCATCCCCTGGCGAACGGCCACGCCGGCCGTGTGCTCCTTGTCATGATAGGAAAACAACGGAAAAATCCGTTGTCAATTCAGTGTATAAATAATGGACTAACAATTACATGTAGTATGAAAAATGTCAGTCAATAATTTACCGATACTGTTCAAACATAGAGCATGGTATGTGTTAGATAACCATTATCGTCTTTTTAGGTCACCTGAGTCACAAAGGTGACCTATTGCTATCCGTTTCCGTCCTTCGTAGTCCGTCGTGCGTCGTGTGTTAACATTTGAACATTTTCAATTTCTTCTCTGAAACCACTGAACCAATTTCAAACAAATTTAGTATACAGCATCTGTGGATGAAGGGAAACAAAAATTGTGAATGTTATGGTCCCCCCCTGGGACCTGAGGAGTGGGGCCAAAACCTCTAAAATTATTGAAATCTTAAAAAATCTTCTTCTTTACTCCTGGACATCAAACAGTCAAACTGTTGGCATGGTTGTAAGGAACACTGAGTCCTCTACCAAAATTGTGAATTTCATGGCCCCAGGGTCAGGGGTTCTAGTGCTAGGGCGGGACTATGTAGGTTTTATAGTCAAAATGCATGATTTCTTTGAAAATCTTCTTCCCTGCTCCTGGGTATTGAATAAACTATGTAAGTACATAGTTATATGTAGCAAGAGTGCTTCTTCCAAAATTGTGAATTTTATGGCCCCAGGATCAGGGGTACTGGTGTTAGGGTGGGGCTACATAGAGTATACAGTCAAAATGCATGTTTTCTTTGAAAATCTTCTTCTCTGCTCCTGGGTATTAAGTAAACTAAATAAGTACATAGTTATGATGAGCAAGAGTGCCTCTTCCAAAATTGTGAATTTTATGGCCCCAGGGTCAGGGGTTCTGGTGTTAGGGCGGGGCACAATTGGTACTCCTGGGAATTCCAACAGGTTGGTGGATATAGATATTGTCAATCAGAAACTCAAGAATCTTTTTGATTTCAACTTCAGGGTACTTATGTGTACAATTAATTAGAACAGGATGTTTTAAACAAAATAATTTTGCAAATGACCAATGACAAGGAAAGTTAATGTACGAGTTCCATTTTTACTGAAAAAGCAGCTGTCAATGATATCGAAAAAGCCTTAACTATCGTTTATCGTTGGGAATAGTTGTATATAAAGTTGAAAAGTCATAAATTTATTGCTGTTGATTTTGGTAGAAACGCTTTCAAATTGTATTAGTGTTCCCGTGACTTTTTAAGTAAATGAAATTTCAGAATCCAATACAGATATAGTAGTTCAAATTCATTTTGATTATTTGAAAATAAAAAAATATTCAAAACTGACATACGATTTTGAAGAATTTCTTCCTTAGAAAGGGAACTATATTGGATTACTACTTGTAAAATTAAATCTATGGTCTTCTAAAATGTAGTTTATATAATAAGCCTTAAAACGAAGGCAATGTTGTAACTTGCTTTGTCAGCAGGGACTAGTTCTTATTAATAATGTAATCTTTTTCTTTTTTCATTTCTCGATTATTAAGTACAGAAGGATAGATGGTTTTCATTTTGCCCGCCCCCCATCTTTTCACACGCTATTTTAACATAGATATGAGACGTTACGCACGACGGTGTTGGTGACGCTTTCTATTAATTTTCCTTGTATAGAGAAAATCGACATGCATTTCTCTATAATATGTAAATAGATAAAACCTATTGGGTACTTTGCTTCGAAATAAATTTGAAAATCTTCGAAACTCGGAAATATTTCATTATTTTTTCATTTCATCTACATTAAGATATTATATAATACCTTTGATATTTATACATATATATATACATTTGTGGTATCTTTCCCTTATATAAACATACAGAGAGAAAATATCTTCAATTCTGTATGAAGTTTGTCAGAGGTCAATACATGGCCGAATCACTCGGCGTAATAATATCTACATGTAGTAGTACTACTTTCTACATGTAAACATTATAAAGTAGGTCACACAACTAAAAACAATAAAACATACCAAATAAAGCCTTGTTTTGTGATATTTATTAACAAATCTACATATTTCATTTATTTCCTTGAATAAAAATTCAAAAAATAGTACTAAAAAATAAAAACAATGTAAATATGAAATCCGTCTGCTGCTAAATTTTACATGTAAATTACACATGAAACATGGCTGATTATGGGAAGCTTGATATGGGAGAAAATGAAATTTGTGAGGAGCTATGGCAACTCTTTGAGGATGAAATTATGGAAAATATGGATCTGACAAATATGGAAGTGGTATCTTCTATTGAGAATGTGAATGAAATGAAGGATGAATTGTTAGAGAGTGCCTTTACTTGCCTCCCCCCTCCAGAGACCCCTGCTGCGCCCAAAAGATTCAAGTCCTTCACTGAGAATGATTTAAAACAGTTTGAAGACGCAAGACAGTCGAAATCTACAAAAATGAACACAAAGTGGGCTATAAAATTATTTCAAGGTAGGCCTAGATAATATTTTAAAAACATAAAGTGTAAAATTTTCCCTTAAAATAGACTTGGTAAAAAAAAAAATAAATCTTACAATAATTAGAACTGAATTTAAAAAAAAGAAAAAAAAAACACAGCCCTTCCCTACTTTCTAGCATAGTTATTTGAATATTTTAGATTGGCATTCTGAAGTCTACCATGAAGCCCTTGATTTTCATAATGTGACACCTGAGGTCCTGGCATCACACTTGCGAAAATTCTACTGTGAGGCCAAAGGACTGCACTAAACGTAAAGAAAATATGATTGATGTTCAAACGCAGCACTATCACAAGAATACTCTGAAAAACATAAGATCCGCAATCAATAGGCACCTACAAGATATTGGACGGCCAATAAATATTGTTCATGACACCATGTTTAAATCTGCAAACCGTACCCTTGATGGGATGCTCAAAGCTATGACACAAAGCGGAGCTTCAAGGCCGACACTGCACAAAACAGTTCTAAATCCACATGATCTTGAAAAAATCTCTTCTTATTTCAAAGCTGCACCTTTTTCACCCATTGTGCTCCGTCAGTGTGTCTGGTTCAATCTGTCTGTGCACTTTGTTTCTCGTGGTCTTGAATTTCACCATCAATTGCATCTTGATTCGTTTGAATTCTGTAACGATGGCGATGCTGAATATGTTGTTCTCCGGCACGAGACTCAGCAGAAAAACTTTCAAGGTGGTCTTCAAAGCGATGAAGCACCTGCTGACAAACGCCTCTACGCTATTCCAGATTCCCCTTTGTGTCCTCTCAAAATGCTTCGTCTTCTTATGTCCAAAACAGAAAAAGGAGCAACACAACTGTTTAACGTGTGCTTGAAAGATGCCCTCTCTTGTCCAAGTGCCTGTGACATCTGGTACACTTCAAAGCCTCTTCAAAAACAATCATTTAGATGCTTCATGAAGGATATATCCAAATCAGCCAAATGCCAAAATTCTTATACACCTCACTGTCTCCGTGCCACTGCAATATCTGCCATGAACGACGCAGGATTTGAAGCAAGGCAAATAATGTTCATGTCTGGTCATCGATCCGAAGCCTCCTTGAAGTCCTACAACAGAGATTTATCGGTTTACCAAAAGAAAAGAGCCTCTACAGTTCTAGCATCTCTAACAAATACTGAATATGCGAACTTTACTCGTTCGTCTTCTGACTTGAACGTACCTGTGCCTGCGCCTGTGGAGTCTGTTCAAATTACTCCCGAAATTCCTCCAAACGCCGATCTCATCCTGCCTCTTCAACCTTCGACGACCTATTCTTAAGTAGATATCCAATCTACATCGGCTACTAATTCTTCTAGAATGATGACAACAGAAATTCTGACGAAATCTACCTTCAACAACTGCACTATCACCATCAACAAAAGTTAGGCAAACATGCTCTCTTCGTTCAAATTCCAATCGAGGCAAATCACCTCACGCGGAAGGAAATTGTGTTGATTTTTACAATTAACATATCTTAATACTTAAAAAAATAACGAAATGTATTTTTTATTGTGCCAAATATTTATTCATTGTAAAAAATCATTGTTGTCTTCGGTATATTAAACTAAACATCGATGAACTTGGAGGAACTACTTTTTGTTATGCTTTTGTCCGTTTCTGGGTCAACATTTCGTCATAATCTACGGCGGACGGTTAAAGCAATAAAAAAATATCATTTTCCGCCTCAAATGTATATATAAGTAATAAATAACAAGTTTATAAACTTCAATGGGAATTGAAGTGGGTCGCTACGTGATCAAATCTTCTGAGAAGGCCTTCGGCCTTCACAGGATTTGATCACGTGACCAACCCACTTCAATTCCCATTGAAGTTTATAAACTTGTTATTTATTTCTTAAATATACTCATGTAGACTGGTAAGGTTTGAGGCATACCCTCAAAATCCATATACATATATTTACATTTGCTGTGTATTTCTAGTAAGCCAACTGTGAAATTGATTTGAAAACCATTTTCGTGTATACTCACGCGTAGGAATATACACGGAGAAACGTGCGTTAACGTGACGTCACAATGAGGCTGCAGCGACGTTAGTAAAAATGTAGCAATATAGGGCAGCAAGAAATTCATATATTGAGTATATTTTAGTTGCTTACAAACATGTAAAATGTAAATATAAGGAATGTTTTTAAGTTTAGTGTGAATTATTGGTGTGTGAATCACACAGACTTGCACCTAGGCATATTTTTCATCATGAAATATGCCTACGTGACAAGTCTGTGTGATTCACACACCAATAACTCACACAAAACTGAAAAACATTCCTTAAATATTTACATTCGCTGTGTTTTACTAGTAAGTCAACTGTGGAATTGATTTGAAAACCATTTTCGTGTATACTCACGCGTAGAAATATACACAGAGAAACGTGCGTTAACGTGACGTCACAATGAGGCTGCAGCGACGTTAATAAAAATGTAACGATATAAGGCAGCGAGAAATTCAAATATTTAGCATATTTTAGTTGCTTCCAAACTGTAAATATAAGGAATGTTTTTCAGTTTAGTGTGAATTATTGGTGTGTGAATAGCGCGCTTCATGAAAAATATGCCTACGTGCAAGTCTGTGTGATTCACTCACACAAAACTAAAAAACATTCCTTAAATATGAGCGATTTATAAAATTGTAATATTGATAGTTTTTATATCATTCGGCGGGAAAAAGCATCGTCTTTATGACAACATAAGTAATTCCAAGTAAAATTCGTTTATTTGTCAGTAACTGCACGAAGATAGATGGTAGACTGCGGGGAAAAAAAGGGATAAATTCAAAGTCGATTCAGGTAAGTTTGTTTATGGAGATGTTATATATTGTTAAATACTGGAAATTAAATTTACACAAATATCTATCCAAAATAGATGCTTACAAGAGTTCGTGACAATTTTTAAGTTAATACAATGTATTCAAATTCATTACAAACATTTTAGCATTTATATGAAAATCATACCATACAAAGCCCTTACGTCACACCATGTTTTTTTTTCATCATTGTGATTCCATATAACCCATATTATTTGATTTTTTAGTCCGTCGTAATTTAAAAAAATATATAAATACAACTTAATTCTAAAAGGAGTGTATCAAGTATCTGCTTAAAGCATATTTTACGAATTTTAAAGCATGAAAATAGCTAATGTGGAATTCCGCATGATTTTACTTGTCACAGGAAATATTTGACGGCAAAATGGCGTCTGATAACATGAACAAGCCCTATATAGTCCAAGTATACAAGACTTATTTATTTGAAATCCCGTGCAGTAAGAATGTAAAGGACGTTCGATCCTGAGATTTGAGTGGATTTTGATCATGTCCTTTATTCATAAAACTCTACATCATTTTTAAGTTCTAATATTAAATCTGAATTCTACAGTGCAAATTGAACTATATTCTATGAAAAAAACGCGATTAAATTCCTTTCAAGTAGAATTAAACTAGGGACTATATTTTGTGGCGGAAGGTTTTTTTTTAGACGAAAATGATCAGTTTTTCCCTTTTGAACTATAACAGTACTGTTGATTTTGGATTCCTATTTTTCTATGCTAGTTGCACACAAGCTGTTTTTTGCAGTGAAATGTATTATGCTGGTTCTGAAATATCCATTAAATTATTTCTTATGATTTTTTTCATCAAAATGTGACAAATGTAGTATAAATATTCTGAAAATCTGGGGGGGAAATTGAGCCAATTCAAACGTAAAATTTACACTTTTTAAGTAATATCTGAAAATTTACGCCATATACCCCCACTTTTGATGCTCTTTTCTAAATATTTCAGATAACTTTGACCCATTTGTTTAAAATCACAAAAAGTTTTAGAATTTAAAATAATTTTCTTGCTTATTAAATTTTCAATGCCAGAAAAATCATAATTTATTAGTGCAGAAAGGTCAAATAATTGATAATGCGAAGCAATTTGAAATTTTTTCTTAGTCACAATTTTAAAGTGTCTTTTTTAAGCAGACTTATAGTTCATTTTGTTTCATGCTTTAATTGGATAAAAATATTGGAAGGAAAAGTGTCGAAGATGTAATTTTTAATTAAGACACAAATTTCAGAGCAAAAAGGTCATATTAAATGTACTATAGCGCCAAAAGAAGCATATTGACCCCTATTTTTGTATTTGAATTTTAATGAAGCTATGTATGTAGAAAATAAAAATATACTTTGCAAAAAAAGATTAAGACTTTAAATATCAGGATCGAACGGCGTTAAAGGAAGCACTTCCCAGGACACGTGTAAAACGTATTGCTACTGTAAAGGCTTACTTGTCCTCCAAGAAATCACCCACGGTTAAGGAACTACAGCGTAGAAAGTTTGTACCATCAGCGGAAGAACACAAAGAATTGGAAATGAATGAATCGATGTGAAATCGTTCTTGAATTCGGTGAAATACGTTCTAATTCCACCATTGAAGAGTTATAGTTCTTAGTGCACTCTTTTGAGAAAAAGTCGGAGAATGTACAAATCTCGTTTTCGCTCTTTGACATATGTCTTTTAGGTCTTCTTTTCTTTAGTTAGAATGGCAAATGCACTTAACATTTAAAATTGGATTGATACTAGCATGTTTTGTATTATCCGCAATGCCATGCTGTCCCAGTCAGACGACCAAACGCACCTCTATTTCTGAAGAGTTCACTAATGGAAATGCAACTTGTTAAAGCCGAGTGATAAGTCGCGGGAAGTCGTCGACATTTTAGCTGCATCTGTGTCAGGACCATTAGTTCAAAAATCTAGGGCTAAAGTTGACCTAGCGAGAAAACTCGGAATACCCATTAGAAGGATCTCAAAGGGTGTTCGAATCCGACAACGAGTTCTGCATTCAGAACAATCATCATTTGAGTTTACAAAAAGGAAAGCAAGGTCAGATAAACTAACTGAAGAAGTACAAAAAAGTGTATGATTTTTGGTGTCTACCCGAAAATTCTCTACACACTGGAAATAAAACTGGTGTCAAGCGTGTCCGAATAGGTCCAAAAACTTACTGTCGCCATGTTATTCAAATTCTTAGAAAATACACAAAGGGAACTGTTAATGTCTTTTAACCAACATTACCCTGAAATTAAGATTTCACAGAGAACTTTGCAAGAAAAAAGGATAGAATAACATGTTGCTGCAGGTATCATCTAGAGAGCAATTTTTTGTTCAATACTTTCATAGCACGTAGAAATCAAATGGCAAACGATGGGGTTTCATTGATGAAAACACATTTAAGGTTTACAGAACAATTTCAGAATCATGTGAAGACACGATGTACCATACGGAGGATGGAAATTTTCATTTGAAAGACTGTTTAGAAAGAAGCTGTGAAAAATGCGGTGTTCATTTGCTGAAATTTTGTGACGCTGAATTAGATATGTCGGACGCCTCGCGAGATGTAAATTGGATAAAATTTGAGTATGTTGACATAAAAACATAAAATGTTACCAAGAAGAAATTGATATTGGTAAACAAAGTAACAAAGTCTGGTGAGATGATTAAGTATTTTAAGAAGGTTTTGGGGTTTTCCCAAGGTCATCATTTCAGGACCAAATGGCAAACTGATCAACTGAAAAATCTTACTGCAAACAAATGTTTAACTGTTCATGATTTTTCGGAAAATTACAGATGTACTGAAAGGGCTGAAATTCAGTCAAACTATTTCGACGAATTTAGGTTTCCATTCACATTTCCCTGATTATAGAAATGCTATATTAGAAGTTGACGGTATTCAAGCACCCCAGATGACCCTTACATTATTTGTAAACATTTTTTTCTTATTTCTCCTGACGAAAAGCATGACCATCATTTCGTCAAATGTTTTCAGAAATTCATTTCCGAATATTTGCACTCCATCAACTAACCTCTCTCTACAATGCACGAATTCTGTCAAAGCCAATATAAAGCAGTGTCCAAAACTGTGTTGGAAATCTCCGTTGACGAACTTGGATACCAGAAAATAATACGAAATTATTTTGAAAGTAGCGATGGTAAAGGAACACAGGATGCAGTGGGAGGTTTACTGGTTTGCTTAAGAAGCAAGCTGATATGGCCGTTATCCGCGGCAAAGCTCAGATAAGATGTGTGCTTGATTTATTTAATTTTGCAGAGGCTAATCTCAGGACACCTCGATCTCATGCCTGCAAAAGTATATTTCAATATATTGAAGAAATCCAGAGGTTTGAAGAAAACTTTCAGCCAATTAATAAAAGGAAGTCGAGTCGTACATCGAGCAGAAGCATCTATAGATGGAAAATCATATTGGGTAACATGTCATGTTACTGTGACAATTGTCTTGAAGAATAAAAGTGTGAAAATTTACCTCAAGTTGGACTTTCAAAAGAAATGAAAATGAAATTGAATAGCGAGACTACACATCAGGATTCTGAGGAGGAATATCCCGAGGCAGAAACTCTCAGATTTTATTACTGAAGGAATAGTGTTTGCTGTACTGTGCACAGGGGATGATGATTAATATAATTTTTACCTTTTACAAGCCACAACAAAGAGTAAAACTCTACGGAAAGCCATTTACAGACAACGGGGTGGATCGTTTATTGCTGGGTCAATAATCATCGACGGAAAATATTTGCTAAAAAGGAAAACTTAGTCTTGGACTATAAGCTAATAAATCACCAAGTAACCATGGTTCCAAGTGCATCTGTATTGTATATTTGCCAAAATGTCTCTATACAAAACAAAATTCTT